GGGAGTGACAGCCCTTGATATCAAGGCTACATTCGACTGAGTGTGGCATCAAGGAGCCCTGGCAAAACTAGAATCAATGGGTATCAGGGGACAAACTCTCTGGTGGTTACAGTTATATCTGACACATCGAAAGATGGTTGTGGTTGTTGGAGGCCAGTCATCTCAGCTCCAGGACATCTCTGCAGGAGTTCCTCAGGGTAGTGTCCTTGGGCCAACCATCTTCAGCAGCTTCATCAATGACCTTCCCTCCATCATAAGGTCAGAATTGGGGATGCTCGCTGATGATTGCACAATGTTCAGCACCATCTGCGACTCCTCAGATACTGAAGAAGTCCATGTCCATATGCAATAAGATCTGGACAATATCCAGACTTGGGCTGACAAATGGCAAGTAACATTCACAGCACACAAATGTCGGGCTATGACCATCACCAATAAGAGGTAAACTTACCACCTCCCGTTGACATTCAATGGCGTTACTATCATTGAATCCCCCACTAACAACATCTCAGAGGATACCATTGACCAGAAACTGAACTGGACTCACCACATAAACACAGTAGCTACAAGAACAGGCCAGAGGCTAGGAATACTATAACGAGTGACACACCTCCCGACCCCCCAGAGCCTGTCCATTATCTACAAGGCACAAGTCAGGAGTGAGATGGAAAACTCCCCATTTGCCTGAATGGGTGCAGCCCCAACCACACTTAAGAAGCTCAACACAATCCAGGACAAAGCAGCCCGCTTGATTGGCACCACATCCACAAGCATCCACTCCCTCCACCACCGATGCTCAGTAACAGCAGTGTGTACCATCTACAAGATGCACTGCAGAAATTCACCAAAGATCCTCAGGGAGCACCTTCCAAACCCATGGCCACTTCCATCTGGAAGGACAAGGGCATCAGTTATATGGGAACACCATCAAGTTCCCCTCCAAGCCACTCACAACCCTGATTTGGAAATATATTGCTGTTCCTTCACTGTCGCTGGGTCAAAGTCCTGGAATTCCCTCCCTAAGGGCATTGGGGGCAGGGTTCAACTCACAGGAGGTGGACTGTAGCAGTTCAAGAAGGCAGCTCACACCACCTTCTCAGGGGCAACTAGAGACGGGTAATAAATGCTGGCCCAGCTAGCGATGTGCACATTCCACAAATGAATTTAAAAAATGGACGAGGGGCGGGGGTGCAAGTACCAGATCTTAGGATCCAGACAGCTGAAGGCACAGTTGTCAATGATTGTTTGAAACCAGAAAATCTGCCCAAAAGGATAACCAAACACATCCACTTTACCAACACCTTCCACCCCAACCTTAAGTTCACCTGGACCATCTCTGATACCTCTCTCTCCTTCCTGGACCTCTCTGTTTCCATCTCTGGCAACCACCTGGAACCGATATCCATTTCAAGCCCACCGACTCCCACAGCTACCTAGAGTACACCTCCTCTCACCCACCTTCCTGCAAAAAGACCATCCCCTATTCCTAATTCCTTCGCCTCCGCCGCATTCCACTCCCGAACATCTCAGATGTCCTCGTTTTTCAAGGACTGCAACTTCCCCCCCTCAGTCGTCGAGAACGCCCTCGACAGTGTCTCCCACATTTCCCGCAACTCATCTCTCACACCCTCTCCCCGCAATAACAACCAAAACAGAATCCCCCTCATCCTCACGTACCACCCCACCAACCTCCGGATCCAACACATCATCCTCCGACACTTCCGCCATCTGCAATCCGACCCCACCACCAAAGACATTTTTCCCTCCCCACCCTTATCTGCTTTCCGGAGGGACCACTCTTTCTGTGACTCTCTTGTCCGCTCCACACTCCCCTCCAGCCCCACCACA